GTGCAGCTCTGGCCGCTCTCCAGCACACTGGCCTCCTTTATGGCCTTAATGCGAGACCCCCAGCCCCATCCCTCGACACGTGCTGGGGAAGCAGAGACCAGCCCCCCTTCCATGTGCTGTGCTCTCTGCTTAAAGTTTTCTTTTCTGTCACCTCCATTCCTGAACTCATTATTATTCCTCCCCCCCCCTTTCTCCTCCTCTGTCTTTCAAACCTTCAAAATATAGATGAGGCCGGGCGCGGTGGCTCAAGCCTGTAATCCCAGCACTTTGGGAGGCCGAGGCGGGTGGATCACAAGGTCAAGAGATCGAGACCATCCTGGTCAACATGGTGAAACCGCATCTCTACTAAAAATACAAAAAATTAGCTGGGCGTGGTGGCGCGTGCCTGTAATCCCAGCTACTCGGGAGGCTGAGGCAGGAGAACTGCCTGAACCCAGGAGGCGGAGGTTGCGGTGAGCCGAGATCACACCATTGCACTCCAGCCTGGGTAACAAGGGTGAAACTCCGTCTCAAAAAATATATATAATATATATAATATAATATATATATATATGATAAAATAGCACACACATCCTTGATAAATACCCAAAAGAATTAACAACAGCTGTTCAAACAAAAACTTATCCACAAATGTTTATAACAACACTAATCACAATAGCCCAAAGATCGATGCAACCCCAATGTCCATCAACAAATGAATGGATAAAGAAAATGTGGGTGACAGCAGCCCTCCACATCCATGGGTTCTGTACCCTTAGATAGGAGGCTGTCAGGGACTCCATCACTCAGGGATTTGGAATCCGAGGACAGTCCTGGAACCAATCCCCTGAGGACACCGAGGGATGACTGCACTCATGAAATGGAACACTGTTCAGCCACAGAAAGGAATGAAGCACTGACTCATGCTAGCGCACGGATGAACCTTAGCGTTGTGCTGGCCGCGCGTGGTGGCTCACGCCTGTAATCCCAGTGCTTTAGGAGACCGAGGTGGGCTGGTCGTCTGAACCCAGGAGTTCAAGACCACTCTGGGCAACATGGCAAGACCCCATCTCTACCAAAAACAAAAATTAGCCCGGTGTGGTGGTGCATGCCTGTAGTCTCAGCTATCTGGGAGACTGAGGCGGGAGAATCTCTGGAACCCCAGAGGTGGTGGTTCCATTGAGCTATGATTGTGCCAATGCACCGCTGCCTGGGCGACAGAAAGACCATCTCTCGGTTTTTAAAAAGGTGGAGCAATGTCCTTTGTGGGGGAGTAGGAAAACTTTTATGCAAATTTAAGAAGCTAGTCACAAAGGAACACATGTTGTATCCTTCCACTGATATGAAATGTCCAGAATAGGTGAATTCATAGAGACAGAAAGTTGATTATTAGCTGACATGGGCCAGGGATAGAAGGGAGTGCGGGAATGACTGCTAATGGGCTTAGGGGTGTTTGGGCTGATGAAAAAGTTATGGAACTAGGCCGAGCATGCTGGCACATGCCTGTAATCCTGGTGCTTCAGGAGGCCCAGGTGGGAGGATTGCTTGAGACCAAGAGTTCAGAACAGCCTGGGCAACAAAGAAAGATCCCATATCTACAAAAAAAAAAGAAAAGAAAGAGAGGAAAGAAGGGAGGAAGGGAGGAGGGAAGGAAGGAAAGGAGAGAGAGAGAGAGAGAGAGAAGGGAGGGAGGGAGGAGGGAAGGGAGGAAGGAAGGGGGAGAGAGAGAGAGAGAGAAGGGAGGGAGGAGGGAAGGGAGGGAGGAAGGGAGAGAGAGAGAGAAGGGAGGGAGGGAGGAGGGAAGGGGGAAGGAAGGGGGAGAAAGAGAGAGAAGGGAGGGAGGAGGGAAGGGAGAAAGGAAGGGAGAGAGACAGAGAAGGGAGGGATGGAGGAGGGAAGGGAGGGAAGAAGGGAGGGAGGGAGGGAGGAAGGGAGGGAGGGAGGAAGGAAGAAAGGAAGGAAGGACGGCCAGGTGAACACCTTTAGTTTCAGCTACTCAGGGGTTAAGGTGGGAAGATCACCTGACCCCAGGAGTTTGAGGCTCCCATGAGCTATGATGTCACAGCACTCCAGCCTATGAGACAGAGTGAGACCCCCCATCTCAAAAAAAAGAAAAGGAAAGAAGTAAAGAGTTCTGGGCTGGGCGCGGTGGCTCACGCCTGTAATCCCAGCACTTTGGGAGGCCAAGGGGGGCAGATCATGAGGTCAGGAGTCCGAGACCAGCCTGGCCAACACGGTGAAACCCCATCTTTACTAAAAATACAAAAATTGGCTGGGCATGGTGGCTCATGCCTGTAATCCCAGCTACTCGGGAGGCTGAGGCAGGAGAATTGCTTGAATTGGGACCTGGGAGACAGAGGCAGAAGTGAGCAGAGACCACGCCATTGCACTCCAGCCTGGGCTACAGAGCAAGACTCTGTCTCAAGAAAAAAAAAAAAAGAAGAAGAAATTCCACTTCACAGAGAGATAGAAGAAATGATAGTGGATCAGCAGGATGATTTTTTAAAAAATGATATAGGGATGGGGTCTCAGTATGTTGTCCAGGCTAGTCTTGAATTCCTGAGCTCAAGAGATCCTTCCACTTCAGCCTCTCACAGTGCTGGGATTACAGGCATTAGCCACCGTGCCCAGACTGGGAACATGCTTTTTTAAAGCACCTTGTCCATAATACCGTATTTTAAAGAATATATACCATGGAATAGAAGTTTAAAAATATTCATGGTAATAATGGGCACCAAATTCAAGATAGAAGTTATGTTTGAGATAGGAGAGGCAATCAAATTTTGGAGGGGGTAGCCCATGGGGAGTCAGTTGCATCGCTAATATTTTAGAGCTGGTAAGCAGAATATGGGTGTGTGTTTTAACTTTCTTTTGTAAAACACATATAAAATTTACAATTTTAACCATTTTAAAGCACACAGCTCAATGGCTTTAAGTAAATGTTTCACAACTATCCACAATGTTTAGTTCCAGAACTCTTTTTTTTTTTTTTTTGAAATGGAATTTCGCTGTTGTTGCCCAGGCTGGAGTGCAATGGCACGATCTCGGCTCACCGCAACCTCCACCTTCTGGGTTCAAGCGATTCTCCCACCTCAGCCTCCTGAGTAGCTGGGATTACAGGCATACACCACCACGCCCGGCTAATTTTTGTATGTTTTGTAGAGATGGGGTTTCTCCCTGTTGTCCAGGCTGGTCTTGAACTCCTGACCTCAGGTGATCTGCCCACCTTGGCCTCCGAAAGTCCTGAGATTACAGGCATGCGCCAATACACCTGGCCTCCTTTATTTTTTTGAGTGTATAACACATTTGCTCGGTTTCAAATTCAAAAAGTACAAAAGGCTGGGCACAGTGGCCAATATCTGTAATTCCACCACTTTGGGAGGCTGAGGCAGGTGGATCATTTGAGCCCAGGAGTTCTAGCCCAGCCTGGGCAACATAGGGAGACCCCCCTGTCTACAAAACATACAAAAATGAGCCAGATGTGGTGACATACTCCTGTAGTCCCAGTTACTCAGGAGGCTGAGGTGGGAGGACTGCTTGAGCCTGGAAGGTCAAGGCTGCAGTGAGCTGAGATCATGCTACTGCGCTCCCTCCAGGCAGCCTGGGCAACAGAGGGAGAGCCGGTCTCAAAAGATAGTAATAACAATAATAAAGAACAAAAGGATCGAAAGGATAGAGTGTAGTACGTTTCTGTCCTGGAAGCTAGACTATGTTGCTAGTTTCGGTATCTTCTCTCTTGCTCCAGTTCATCTGGACACAATCCCAGAACACGCGCAAGCCCAGAACAGGCTGCAGGCTGTACGTGACCTTCCTTTTTTTCCCCTACAGGTTATCACTTGGAGACTTTCCATACATTCACACAGTGAGCTTCTGTGTCCTTTTTAATGGACGCCTAGTATTCCACTGCATGGATCAGCCATGATTTATTGCTCAAATCTCCTACAGATGGTAGTTTAGCGTGTTTTCAGCCGTTTGCGGTGACGTGCGGTACCGCAGTCATTAACCTGCTACAGACATTATTTTGCATAGTTTCGAGTAGATACCGCTGAAGAGTAAATTCCTGGAATTGCTGGCTTGGTAAGACTGTTCCAACTTCTACTTGCCCCAGCTGGGTATGAAAGGACCTGTTTGCTCACAATCTCATTCACACCGTTTGGCAGGAACGTAACCTTAAACAAACAGAGTCAAGCTGTGGGTATCCTCCTGCAAAATGCCTTTCCTCCTCCACATTAGGTTTTTGAGATGTGGCCAGGTGGGTTTCATTCTGCCGATTTCAGCTGAAATGTTGCCGCCTCCAGGAAGACCTCAGGAATCACCTCCTCCCAGTGTGAGCTCAGCTCCGTGCCTTCTGTTCTCTGCATTCCCGTAGCATTTTCCTGCCTTGGAGCACACATTCCCCAACACGCACTCCACCGTGTCTGTCTGCCTTCCCCATCAGACCATGAACTCGCTGGGGACAGGGTCGAATGGCCTCTGTCTTTGCTATTGTGGCTCCAGCACCAAGGACAGCATCAGCCCATAATAGGTGTTCAGTAAACATTGGTTGCTAAGGTCCCAGGGAACATGCCTACAGGTAACACCTAACAAAAGATACGCAGGCTGGCCTGCAGCAGATAGTCAGTACATATTGGTCACTTAGGGTCAAATGACTATATGCAGGGGCTTATCACAAAGGGGAAACTGAGGCTCGAGGTGGGAGAATCCTTCACGCAGGCAGCCAAGGGAAGGCTGGAGCCGGGTTCTAATCCAGAGTGCCGGTATTTTGTGAAAATACTCCGTCACTGCTTCATTCATCTTCCTCCCCCAGCCACCCCCTCGGCTTGACACAGTGCCTGGCACAGACACGACTTGATAAATGTGTATTTGTCGAAGGAATGAATGAGTGTGTGTGTGTGTGTGTGTGTGTTGGGGAGCGGGGGGGGGCAGGGTGGGGAGCTGGATACAGCGTCCCAGGCCCCTCAGCACCCGCTGCTCTGTGGGAGCCCGGGGGACAGGCCCCCAGCCCCCTCCCCTCACAGGACCCTGTGGTGCAAACTGCCCCCCCGCTCCCCTCCCTGGGTCCCCGTCCTCCCGCTTCCGGCTTCCTAGCCAGTCTTTCCTCTTTCAGGCTCCGACGAAAGGCCGGGTTTCCGGGGGGAAGGCTTAGGCGGTGACACCGAGCCCAGCCTCCTCCTCCACCCCCCACCACACTCGGGTCCCCCCTCCCTCCCCGCCACCACCGTCCGCGTTCGGCCGGCCGTGGGGAAGGAAGAAAGGAGCCAAGGAGGCCAGGTAAGAAGCGGGCCCCAGCGACCAGGGCCGAGCCCCAGGCCCGGGGCTGAGAAATCCTCAAGGCCTGACCCGGCCCCAATTCTGCTGATCATGCCTTCGGGGAGCTGCGGGCTTGGCCCAGGGGAGACTGGCCCCGCTCTGGGACCCGGGACCCCTGAGCCCACCAGCCTCCCTCCTGGGTCCAGGGGTCCAGTCCTCAGCCGCCTCCTCCCTGGGGACTCCTGGCAGCTGGGTCCCCAGCCCGCACCGCCCCCTTGCCCTAGGAGCCCAGCCCCCTCCCCAGCCCCTCCTCCACCGGGACCCCGGAATCCACACCTTCTCCATAACAGATTCCCCAATCCGCCCCGGCCTGGACCCAGGAGTCATCCCAATCCCCAGCTCCCACCTCCCTCAGGCCCAAGAGTCTGGGCCCCCAGCCCCCTCCCAAGTCAGACCAGAAGTCTGAGCCCTCCTACTCCCGGGCCTCTCCCAGCCCCTGGCGTCTGGGCACAGGCTCCATTTCCGGGGCCTACTGGCTTCGAATCCCACCCCTCCACTCAGGCCCCACGGGCTGTGTCCCAGCCCCTCCCGAAACGTTCAGCCTGGCCGGGGGGCCTGGAGCAGAAGCGGGTCACTGACTTTGCCCCCTCTGTGCCTCTCCCCTGTCTCACTCCCTCTGTGTCTGTCTCGGTCTCCCCAGCCTCCAACCCACCGCTGCTCTCCTGACCGCTCTGCTTGCACCCTCTCTGCCTCTGGGTCTCCAAGTCTCTTTGTTTCCTCTTCTCTGTGTCTCTGTCTCTCTGCTGGGTGCTCCTCGCTCTCCTCCCTCTCTTCTCTGCTCTGCGGTTCACCACCCTGCCTTTCTGTGTCTCCTGGTCTCTGTCCATTTGCACTTGTCTGTGTCTCCCATCTCTGCCTTCCCCTGTCTCTGTTCCCTGCTCTGTGTCTGATCTCTGTCTTTCTTCCTATCTCCCCATCTCTGCCTCCTCGCCTCCGTGTCTCTCACCTTTGTCTCTGTCTCAGATCTCTCTCCCCTGGCTGAATACCTGGCCCTCTCTGCCTCTTTATCTCCGACTGTCTGTCTCTGCTTCTCTCTCTGCCACACCCCACGCACTTCTCTTTATCTCTGCCCCCTTCCCATCTCTCCCTCTCTGCCCACAGGCATGGATCCGCAGCCTCCTCCACCTGCCCAGGGCAGCCCACCTCACCGTGGCCGAGGCCGTGGCCGTGGCCGAGGCCGTGGTCGAGGCCGTGGCCGTGGCAGGGGGGGCGCTGGAGCTCCTCGGGCGCCCCTGCCCTGCCCCACCTGCGGCCGCCTCTTCCGCTTCCCCTACTACCTCTCCCGGCACCGGCTGAGCCACTCGGGGCTCCGGCCCCACGCCTGCCCGCTGTGCCCCAAGGCCTTCCGCCGGCCGGCCCACCTCTCCCGCCACCTGCGGGGCCACGGGCCCCAGCCCCCGCTGCGCTGTGCCGCCTGCCCCCGCACCTTCCCGGAGCCCGCCCAGCTCAGGCGCCACCTGGCTCAGGAGCACGCGGGCGGCGAGGTCGAGCTGGCCATCGAGAGGGTGGCCAAGGAGGGGGCCGAGTCCAGCTGGGGCCCGCAGGACGAGGGCGCGGAGCAGCCCACCACTGCTGCGGCGGGGGCCGCGGAGGAGGAGGCGGCCACAGCGTGGCCTGAGACGTGGCCTGCGGGGGAGCCGGCCACGCTGGCTGCGCCCACCAGCACCGCGGAGCCCCGAGAGTCGGAGTCAGAGGAGGCCGAGGCCGGGGCCGCAGAGCTGAGGGCCGAGCTAGCGCTGGCGGCTGGGCGGCAGGAGGAGAAACAGGTGCTGCTCCAGGCGGACTGGACACTGCTGTGCCTGCGCTGCCGCGAGGCCTTCGCCACCAAGGGCGAGCTCAAGGCGCACCCGTGTCTGCGCCCCGAGGGCGAACAGGAGGGTGAAGGGGGGCCCCCGCCGCGCCCCAAGCGACACCAGTGCTCCATCTGCCTCAAGGCCTTCGCCAGGCCCTGGTCCCTGTCGCGCCACCGGCTGGTCCATTCCACCGACCGCCCTTTCGTGTGCCCAGACTGCGGCCTGGCCTTCCGCCTCGCCTCCTACCTCCGCCAGCACCGCCGCGTCCACGGCCCACTCAGCCTGCTGGCCCCGCTGCCCGCGGCGGGCAAGAAGGACGACAAGGCCTCGGGGGCACGGAACTCAGCGAAGGGGCCAGAGGGGAGCGAGGGGGCGGAGTGCGGGGGTGCCTCGGAAGGCGGAGGAGGCGGGCAGAACGGAGGCGACGCCGCCCAGGCCCGGCCCCCGGCCGGGGAGCCGCGCTTCTGGTGCCCGGAGTGCGGCAAAGGGTTCAGGCGCCGCGCGCACCTGCGGCAGCACGGGGTGACCCACTCGGGAGCGCGCCCCTTCCAGTGCGTGCGCTGCCAGCGGGAGTTCAAGCGCCTGGCCGACCTGGCGCGCCACGCACAGGTGCACGCGGGGGGCCCTGCCCCGCACCCCTGCCCGCGCTGCCCGCGCCGCTTCTCGCGCGCCTACAGCCTCCTGCGCCACCAGCGCTGCCACCGCGCAGAGCTGGAGAGGGCCGCCGCGCTGCAGGCACTGCAGGCCCAGGCCCCGCCGTCGCCGCCACCGCCGCCGTCTCTGAAGACCGAGCAGGAGGAAGAAGGGCTCCCACTGCCTCTCGCAAACATTAAGGAAGAGCCGCCCTCTCCGGGGACCCCACCCCAGTCCCCGCCGGCTCCCCCTGTCTTTCTCAGCGCCTCCTGTTTCGACAGCCAAGACCACTCAGCCTTTGAGATGGAGGAAGAAGAGGCAGACAGCAAGGCTCACCTGCGCGGGCTGGGGGGCCTGGCCTCCTGACCTCCGCTGTCCTGCCCTCTGCCACTCCGCCTGAGCTCCTGTTTGCAGAATGGAGGAGGGAAGTTGAAGGAGCCGCCTCCTCTGTCCACCCACCTGTCCCCTTCACGCCCTTGACACTAAGGAGTAGGGGAGCCCGGACTGCCCCTCACTCCCCATGGTCTGTCCCCAGAACCCCCGATGCTGGTTAGGAACCGCTCACCCCAACATGTGTCTTAAGTCAGGACGACTTGGGAAAAAAGGCGGCGGACAGTTGGCCAGAGGGATGGAGACTGGTGGGGACGTCCCCGCCTGCCTGTCCCCCGTTACACACACTGGACACCATCACCTCTTCGGAACTTCGAGACCCTGGGGGTTCCCAGTGAGCAAAGATCTGTCCTGGTCCCTTTGTCTGTCTGTGAATAAATGTGAGTTCGTGAAATCCGAGAGAGCGAGGTATTCTCTGGAGGTGGGGGCAGGCTGGGGGCGCTGGGGCGAGTTAGGATTTGTCCAGCGGACCCTGAGCTCAGGTTCAGAGCAGGAAGAAGACAGAGGCATCCGAGAATACGTGGCCCTCAACCAGGCAAGAAGCTGGTGAAGCCTGGGTTCACAAGAAACGGGAAGGTGACATGACAGATAAGCGTCTCCCCTGCCCTGTGGAATCTCTGAGCGTGTTATTATTCACTCAGTCTCTACCGAACCCTGCTCTGTGCCGGCGGTGGGACTAGGCCCTGAGAAGGAGGCCAATGCCGTCCTCTGAAGGAGCTAGAGTTGTAGCCCTGCATTGTCCAACATAACTTTTTTTTCCCTAGAAAAGTTCCCCTAATTTTTCTTCCCTCACTTTGTTGCCCAGGCTGCTGCGCTGTGGTGCAGTCGTAGCGCACTGCAGTCTGAAACTCCAAGACCCAAGCGGTCCCCTTGCCTCAGCCTCCCTGGTGCATGCCACCACACCCAGCTGATTGTTTACCTTTTTGTTGAGATGGAATCTTGCCCAGTCTGGGAGAACTTTGTGTGATGATGGGATACTCTGCATCTTCACTGTCCAGTATGGTATCCGGCAACCACACGTGGCGATTTCCATTTAAATTTAGAATGCAGAAATGTCAAGTCATTAAGATGAAATAAATGTAAAAGTTCGGTTCCTCAGTCACACTTTTTTGCTCACCCAGGCTGGAGTGCAGTGGCACAATCTCGGCTCACTGCAACCTCCACCTGTTCGGTTGGAGTGATTCTCCTGCCTCAGCCTCCTGAGTAGCTGGGATTACAGGCACGCGCCACCATGCCCAGCTAATTGCTGTATTTTTAGTTAGAGATGGGGATTCGCCATGTTGGCCAGGCTGGTCTTGAGCTCCTGACCTCAGGTGATCCACATACCTCAGCCTCCCCAAGTGCTGGGATTACAGGTATGAGCCACTACACCTGGCCTCAGTCACACTATTTCAAGGGCCAAAGAACCTCACGTGGCTGGTGGCTGCCATATTTGACAGCACAGATCTAGAACTTACATCATTGAAAAACGTCCTGCAGAATGCAATGCAGCAGCAGGTATAAGGGCTACCGAGATAGACCGCCAGATAGCATGATGGCAGAGCAGGACGCGGAGTCAGCGCTTCTCCGGGGAGGCCGTGTTTGGTTTGAATGAAGATGGAGGGAACCTGGTGTAAGAAAGAAGCATCCGTGAGAAGAAAACACCAGGCAAAGAAAAAACAAGGACAAAGGCTAGGAGGTGGGTGGGTGCTACACGTTTTTTGGTTTTTGTGGGTTTTTTTTTGTTGTTGTTGTTTGTTTTTTGAGACAGGGTCTTGCTCTATTGCCCAGGCTGGAGTGCAGTGGCACAATCATAGCTCAATGCGGCCTTGTCCTCCTGGCTCAAGGGATTCTCCCTCCTTGGCCTCCCAAAGTGCTGGGATTCGTAGCATGAGCCACTGCACCTGGCCATTACTACATATTTTAGAGACTGTAAGTAATTGGAGGTGGGGTGGGAAGTTTCCATCTCTACACATCTTCCGGTTGCGTTCCTTTTTCACTCGTTTATTTAGGTGCTAGGAATGGAAGGAAGAGGTATACCTGTCAGCTCATCTCCCTTAAATAGCTTTCTCTCTCCTTCTCTTGACACCCTGCCTTCCCCCAGCACCTTCAATGGTTCTCTCTTGCCCTACGCAAATAATGACATTGACCACTTGGGCATCTGGACACCCTTAAGAAACAGCAAGGAAGGCCGGGCGCGGTGGCTCAAGCCTGTAATCCCAGCACTTTGGGAGGCCGAGGCGGGTGGATCACAAGGTCAAGAGATCGAGACCATCCTGGTCAACATGGCAAAACCCCGTCTCTACTAAAAATACAAAAATTAGCTGGGCACGGTGGCGCGTGCCTGTAATCCCAGCTACTCAGGAGGCTGAGGCAGGAGAATTGCCTGAACCCAGGAGGCGGAGGTTGCAGTGAGCCGAGGTCGCGCCATTGCACTCCAGCCTGGGTAACAAGAGCGAAACTCCGTCTCAAAAAAAAAGAAAAAAAAAGAAAAAAAGAAACAGCAAGGAAGGGGCAGAGCCTCTCCTTTTTCCGGGACAACAAACTGAGGCTCAGAGAGGGAAGATGTGTCCCCCAGTGTGACAATGATCCTAGATGGATCAAGCCAGGAAGGGAAGCCAGAAGGATGGTGGTTGAGGATCAAGGTGGGAGAGGATGACCACTTGGAATGGTTCCACCTTCAGTGATTTCATACATCTTGGCTGAGCCCTGAGCACTGTGCCAGCTTGTACGTCTCAATATGGGTTAGCTTGTCTGATTTTTTTTTAAACAGGCCCTCACTTTGTTGCCCAGGCTGGAGTGCAGTGGGATAATCATAGCTCACTGCAGCCTCCATCTCTTGGGCTCAAGTGATCCTCCCGCCTCAGCCTCTGCAGTAGCTAGGACTACAAGTGCGTATCACCGTGCTTGGCTGATTTTAAATTTTTCTCTTTGTAGAGACGAGGTCTCACTATGTTGCCCAGGCTGGTTTCCAACTCCTGGTCTCAAGTGATCCTCCCCACTCAGCCTCCCGAAGTGCTGGGATTACAGTTGTGAGTCACTGCACCTGGCCTACCCCGACTGTTTATCACTGAGTTTAAGCCCAGTGCTGGATGTTGGGGCTAGTATTTGATGACACCACCTGGGCACCCTTGTGACACCAGCAGTCCAGCTCAGGAGATGAATAATAACCAAATATTGGCCCGAATTAATTAGGGTTACCAAATGAGACTGGTTCCCCAAAGAACTAGCTCCTACAGGAAACTATAACCAAGCCTCAAGTGTTGGGGGGATGGGAGGCTCAAGTCTGCTTTTATTACATCAAAGCCACTCCCTCCTCAGGAAGCTTCAGTGGCTCCCTATTACCATATCCAAATGTAGGCTCCTATTTAGTGAGAGCCTACCACAGCCAGACACCTGATCCATACAATATCATGGACAAAACCCATCAAACGAGAAAATTATATAGCTCCATTTATAAAAGGGCCAAACTGGGGCTTCAAGCAAATAAGCCATCTGTCCCACTTTAGTAATCGCTCCTACAAAATGAACCTTGCGTATTAAATGACTTACTTCATGGAAAGGGCCGAAGACAGTGCTTGGGGTTGGCAAGAAGTTGTTGTTGGCTGTGCACGGTGGCTCAGGCCTGTAATCCCAGCACTTTGGGAGGCTGAGGTGGGTGGATCATCTGAGGTCAGGAGTTCGAGACCAGCCTGGCCAACATGGTGAAACCTCGTCTCTATTAAAAATACAAAAATTTAGCCAAGAATGGTGGCAGGTGCCTATAATCCCAGTTACTGGGGAGTCTGAGGCAGGAGAATCACTTGAATCCAGGAGGCGGAGGTTGCAGTGAGCCGAGATCATGCCACTGCACTCTAGCCTGGGTGACAGAACTCAAAAAAAAAAAAAAGTTGCTGCTGTTGCTACTTTAACTATTATTCTCCCTGGCTGGTATGTACATGATCTCAGTGAATCCTCACCACTCTACTGGGAGACAGGAAACACCCTCTCCATTTTCCAGATGTAGAGAGGAAGTCCCTTGTCCAAGATATCATGGTTACAAATGGGCAGACCTGGTACTTGAACCCTTACCCAGGCCAGTCTTACCCTCCCATCAGCTCCCACCACACAGCCCACTCTCAAGCCCCTTCCTACACACATCTTGGTCTCCAGGACCCATGGGCCCCTCTGCCCTGTGGGTTTGCCCACCCTTCCCCATGCAGATCTGCCGTCTCGGGAGGGACACACTTTCAGAACAAACTACAGAATTGGCAAAGAGAAGAGGGCCTCAGACAGAGAGCCCAGAGTTTTCACTGTGCAGGTGGAAAAACTGAGGCCAGATGCATAGGACAGACACAGAGAATGATTAACCGAATGTCGTGATTACCGAAGGAGTCGTGGTCATGCAGGGAACACGACCTGTCATTTGTCTTTCACTGTGCTGACCGCTTTACACGTGACCGCAACCATGTTTGTCAACAATTAGGAACCCACTTCTCCAGTGTTCACCCTATGTCTGTTTCAAGGGTGTTACATAGATTAGTCCATTTAATCCTCACAATAGCCCCATAAAATAGATACTGTTACTGGCTCTGTTTGCTGTTCTGGATTTTCATAAACAGCTTTATTGAGGTATCATTTACACGCCATAGACTTCATCCATTTGCTCGTACAAGTCGATTTATATCTATATCTATATCTATATCTATATCTATATCTATATCTATATCTATCTATATCTATATCTATCTATATCTATATCTATATCTATATCTATATCTATATCTATCTATATCTATATCTATCTATATCTATATCTATATCTATATCTATATCTATATCTATCTATATCTATATCTATATCTATATCTATATCTATATCTATCTATATCTATATCTATATCTATATCTATATCTATATCTATCTATATCTATATCTATATCTATATCTATATCTATCTATATCTATATCTATCTATATCTATATCTATATCTATATCTATATCTATATCTATATCTATATCTATATCTATCTATATCTATATCTATCTATATCTATATCTATATCTATATCTATATCTATCTATATCTATATCTATATCTATATCTATATCTATATCTATCTATATCTATATCTATCTATATCTATATCTATATATCTATATCTATCTATATCTATATCTATCTATATCTATATCTATATCTATATCTATATCTATATCTATCTATATCTATATCTATCTATATCTATATCTATATCTATATCTATCTATATCTATATCTATATCTATATCTATATCTATATCTATCTATATCTATATCTATATCTATATCTATATCTATATCTATCTATATCTATATCTATCTATATCTATATCTATATCTATATCTATATCTATCTATATCTATATCTATATCTATCTATATCTATATCTATATCT